CCTACCGGTCCCCCGCCGGCCGACCACCGGAAGTCGCGGCGCGTATACGGCCGCGACAAAAAAAAATGGCTGGCCGAGGTACTGGTGGTTTAATAAAAGATCCGTAGTACCTCCGCCAGTGTTGGGAAAATAGGGGAAAGTGGACGTTTTCCCAAACTCCTGAAGTTTCAGAGGCCCGGCCCGACGACGGCTGCCTTTTTGTGATAAATCTGATCGGCGGCTGTCGTTTCGTTTCGGGCCCACCGGAGGTCGGCGGCTGTCGTTTCGTTTCGGGCCCACCGGAGGCCCGCTATTTTCCCACGCGCCAAAAAAAAAGAATCGCTGCACGTTAGGTAGTATGTCCTTTTTTTTTTCTTTTTCTTTTTTCCCATGAGCACTCGGCGCGAATCATTCGAATAGCTTCTCAATTCGTCGGAGTGAGTTAGTGCGTTCTATACGAGGATTTTTTCGTCAAGCTATTGACGTGATTGCGGTCAGATTCATCCTGGTAACTCGACGTAACTACACTCAGATGCATTCCGGAAATCGCTCGTGTGAATACGGCATCTTCAAGGGGGCGGGCTTGCCAATTGCGGCGAAGTGGTACATGGAATCTTGTTAAAGATTTTATGTGCTTCATGGAAATGGAGTTCCCTCTACATGGCAGTGGATGTGAACATACGCCAAAACCGTCGGCAGCTTCTTTTGCAATTCCATTGAAGTGTTTGCGAGTGCAACGACGCAGAGGGTGCTCTTGCGACGCTCGAGCATGACCGGCAGTTTGTCGGGGTCGGTACTACTTACAGTATTTAGCCTGCAAGTTGGGAGCGACTGAATCAAATCGCTGAGCGGGTCCGACATCGTACATGATCAAAGAGCTGCCGGAAAGCGCATCCGCTTTCCCCACCTCGTGCCACTCTACCTAAACGCAGGTTGGCCCCAGTTACACCATCTCTTCCTTTCCCTAAAGCCGATCACGACCACCACCTCTTCCGTTTCCGTAACCTGGAGTCCTGCCAGAGCTCTCTCTCTCTCTCTCTCTCTCTCTCTCTCTCTCTCTCTCTCTCTCTCTCTGTGTGTGTGTGTGTGTGTGGAGAGATCGAAGGATCGACAAGGTTGATGGATATGTGGATCGATCGCTCAACCGATCGATCGACAGATAGATAGACCGATTGATATACACATGGATAAGAGAGAGAGAGAGAGAGAGAGAGAGAGAGAGAGAGAGAGAGAGGGAAACAGCCTCTCTCCTCTTCGCTATGTATACCATCACGTCTCCCTGTGTGTGTGTGTGTGTGTGTGTGTGTGTGTGTGTGTGTGTGTGTGTGTGTGTGTTTGTGTGTGTGTGTGGGGGGGATTGGTGTGTGCGTGAGCCGGCGGGAAGAGTTGCAGGTATTTGTTCAGAGCTTTTGAATGTGACGGTGTTCAGCGTTTTTTCCGTGTTCTGGTGGTCTGTGTTTATTGTTTTGGTTGTGTGGCATGGCGCGGCATGCGCTGGTGAATACAGCAGACAGTCGGCAGAGACACTCAGTCTGCTGAACACAGCAGACAGTCGGCGGAGAGACATTCCTACTGGAGCTAACTATTGGACGACAGGCAGGTTCCCTTGTTACGCGGCCCCACGGTCACGGTTACCATAAGCGCGCTCGACGACGCGTTTGCTGGTCAGCGACCAACCACGCATGACTCGACGTAGCAGCTGCGCTTATGCATCCTTGAGCGCTCCTGGCGATCAGATCAGCCGTTGGCCGAAGCGCATCACGCCATTCGGTGACATTGCGGTGGCATTTCGGTGACGCTTTGGTGAAGTGTCGGTGGGTGACACGTGTTGTGCGGCGCTGTGCTGCACTGAACGAATCCAATCCGTTTTGATGGCGAGGGCTGTGGAACGCTTGCGCACGGCTTCGAAAGCCTGGCGATTTGTTGCTTCGTCAACCCGTTTCGGCGATGGCTGCCACGTGGACCACGTGGATCACGTGGATGCCCATCGTAGTCCAGAGTTGATGGGATCGGCCGTTCCATCTGTCGGAACAGATCACTTAAGCGCGGGAAAGCTACTAGGCGCAGATTATTTAAGCGCGGGAAAACTACTAGGCGCAGATAATTTAAGCGCGGGAAAGCTGAGAGGCGCAGGTAATTTAAGCGCGGGAAAGCTTATAGACGCAGCAGGTATATCCCGCAGCAGCGTCGTCCCTCGTTCATCTTCCTCACCTCTTACGCCGACGTCAAGAGGTGCTGAACGAGTCACAGAAGGGACCAGGTACAGAATGAGCGACTACATGGCGGGCTTGTCCGCCTCCGCCTCCGCCTCCGCCTCCGCCTCCGCCGGCGGCGGTATCGCTACCAAGGGGAGTCGTACGTCTCCCTCCGCGTTTCTCGATTTGCCCGGAATGCCCGGAATGGTGTCGGGATCGGGACTCGGACGCACCTCGCCCTCCCTCAGCGGTTACTCGATTGCGGTCCCGATCTTCACGGCAGCTGCAGCAGTGGACTGCGCCCCCGCGGATGCGTCCTCCATAGCAGCTAGCGTTTGTTGTCATCACACCTGTCCTTCGTCTTCGTTCCCTCTGCTGCTCCAGTTCCCCGGTCGGCCGATCATGGAGGCCGCCGTAGCCAAGAGCTGTGCCGACGAAGCAGCGTCCTCTTCATATCGACCTGAAGAAGCGGGAGCGAGAGTAGCCCCATCTTCTGGGAGTGACATCACCTCCTCCTCCTGCGGTCAGCCTCAGAACGATTTGTACTGCTGGGACACCCCATGGATGTATCCATGGGCACAGCCAACTCCTTGTCGGGGAAAGGTAAGAGGTGATCTTGGGTCTCTTTCATTCCGTTCTTTTCTCC